ATAAATTTTAACAAAAATCATTACCATTTTTGCTTAGTTGCTTATGGACATTGCTTATGACTGATTGACCGTTGGACAGAAGATTTCATCTTCTCTGGACCATTCGCATATTAATGACAAAATTTTGAATAAACATAGGCACACTTAGTAAGCAAGGGTATTATAAAAACCAATGCGTTAAAAGTGTGCACCTCATAGACAAAGCAGTAGTAACAAGAATTATATAAATAGTTTTTCAGGTAAAATTATAGAACTGTATTTTGAAGTCCAGCATATCTTCTTGATGGAAAATAGATTTATCTTGTTTAAAGAGTTTGTATAAGCACTTACAGAATTAATCAATATCACGGCTCTGTATTTGATATATTTGCACCCAGATAAATAAATGATGGATGATACAGCATTGCCATAAGTCACATATTCATAAACTAATTAAGATCTAATTATTTCTTTATAAAATAAATATTCTTTTCTACATGTAATATTGGTTAGACCTAACTTAGACCTAAGTATTTCACATTGCTTGTTTATTCTATATCCACATTATTGAATTTCTATAGCCTAGTGTATTCTCTGTCAAAAGTCAGGCCTAAGTATTTCACATTGTTTGCCCATTCTCTTACCCCACATTAGTGAATATTTCTTCTTTTTTATACAAAAAAAATAATCAAAAGTTAATTAATACCTTAGTAAATTGTTTGTGGATAATATGTAAATTTTTTAATAATATTTTCTCTTTATATAAATATATAATATCAACAATTTCGTTGTAGTTCCACTGTTGAGCTAAACTTTAACTTCTGCAGAGAGCCATAAAAATGTTTTTGAATAATTGATCAGCGATAATGTTGAATATTTGTATTTTTTTTGGAGGAAAAATCATATGCATTATATGATTATATGATTATATGATGAACATAAAATGTTTTTGATGTATATACGTAGATATAATCTTGCAGTGATACTCGTATCGCGAAAAATTATCAAATGTAAATCCGAACGTTAATCGTTTTACGCCGCATGAAATACGAGAGTTTAATATTTAATTTAGTCGATTGTAATCGCTTAATAGAACTGCAAATACAAAGTTAATGCAGAGAATGCTGTTGAACGGCCCACCCCTGAGGTCCTGCTCTTAAGCTACAGGATTTCGCATATTGTATTTTCCTGTCATCACCAAAGAGTGTCACCAAGCTAATTTATCATTTTTGAATCTAATCACCACAAAACGGTCACAAGTGCATTTGCCTTTTGTTTATTTAGCAACAACTTAATTCACCCTCCGTTTACACTACGTCCTGCGTCCTGCTTCCTGCGTCCTGCGTTCTGCGTCCTCTGTTCTGCGCCCTTCCATTACAATTTAATGTGTTTGTCAAATTTGGTTTATTAATGCTCGCAAATATGACATTTTCAAAAATATTAAACTCGGTCACACTTGATTCCAATACGAAAAATATGAATTTTTGCAATTATTGTGGTTAGTAAATGCGGGCGATTGTATAGGGAAGGATGCGGATGCGGATGCTGATGATGGCATTCTATGCTGGCTGCACTTTCTGGCAAGTGTGTAAGGTGTAGTGAACGCAACGAGTGCGTAGAAAATTTCTTTGGACCGACAATTGTTGGTTTCTTGGCCGGTGGAATTGGTACGTTGCAAGTGCAAAATATTTTTTTATATTCTTTATTTATTCAATATAAAAACTCGAAGGGTTGCAAAATGTGAGCACTGAAGATTTTAGCGTTTCAACGTCAGTTGGCCTTGTTCCCGGCACGCTTAATGTGTTCTTAATAAGCTTGACATGATTTTTTAAAAGAAACGTCAATATTAAGTTTATGCGGAGATTAAAACATATAAAATTCCAAATGGAATTGTGTTAGAATTATTTTTTGATACATTTTGTAATTCAATTCAGCTATGCGTGTGTTTAGTAAGGAATTACGAGTAAGCAAGATTTTATCATTCTACTCTTGTAGTTAAAAAACTTAACACAGTCAAAATTTTCCATTTACTGAAGTTATAAAATAACTTAATTATCGAGTCTATATATATATACAAAGAATGGATCATCTCCTTTGGCTTTATCGAAAGCAACGGTGATAGAGAGAGGTGATGGAAGCAACTGAATGCCTTTTATAGTAATATAAGGTTAGGTATTGTGGGACTAACAAGAGGTCAGAGAAAAGTGTGTTAGGAATTGAAAAGTCAGAGTGTGGGTTGTACCACCGAGTGAGATATCGTCGAGCGAGAGTTATTAGATACTAGATTATTAAATACTTTCTTGTAGATGAGTTCAGACTTGTGCTTGTAATTGGCGCAACCTCGGTCAATCTTATGTTTAAAGAGTCGCACTTTTTTCATTTGAGCAAAACTGATTACAAAATATAGAGGGAAGACGTAGTACGTTAGCGGAGAGATGAGCTGTTAAGCTGTGGACCTTAACTTAACAGTTAATTACAATTACAGTAATTAAAATCTACAATTAAGCTGATTCTGTTTTTGAACAGCATTTTTTAATTAAATATGTCTGAAATTAACATTTTGGATCACACAATACATGCAGAATGAAGTTGTTACGAGGGGATAGCAGAACACCGAAATTCGTAAGCTTGTGAATAAGCTGAATTGGGATGTTATCGAACTGTAGTTCAACGGGTAATGCGTGGAAACCTCTGGAGCGATTTCACCTTTGGCTTACTAGAGCGATAGCAAAGATATTGACATTAAGCCTACTAAATATATGACGCTGTTGGATGGCCGCATAAAAATAAAACTTAGCAAATAACCTTGACAGGGGCTCGTGCTAGAATATCTGCTGTGAACAGAATAAAAATAAATATGCTTAAGAACAGAACCCTGGGGAATACCAGAGAGGAACTGACTTGGATGTACTCGTATATCATGTAAATAAAAATAAGTAAGTACATTTATACAGTAGCGATATTAATTATGCCTTAGACCAGGAAACGTAGCTCATACTTTATGTTTATAATGATTTAGCTCTTAGGAAAATAGATGAAAAAACTGAATTTATTGAATATATATTAAACTGAATAACATATATATTTTTATAGAACGTTTTCTACTCAGTATATTTATTTCTCATAATTATAAGTAAGAAATAATTTATATGCATTATTAGTTCACTTATGGCACTTTTTACTGCTGTTGGTGTTGCTTGACTTATTATTTTTACTGATGTTATACTTCAAGTATACATATAGCGCTGATATACTAATATGATATTATTATATATTTTATTAAATTTTTATTTAAAACAATAATAACATTTTGAAGTCTAGGGGAGGCGAGCGCCACCCTTCCCCCCAACCCCTTGCTCCTACCTGTGTACGCTCTTGTATATATATATATATATATATAAATAAAATATGTTATTTTTTTATTAGAAATTAAAAATGAATAACCAATCCTACAAATAATTTACATTAATTTCTTCAAATTAATTTTTTAATAATTAATCTAAGGCAATCTTATTGTGGTGGAATATTTTTATAAGGTAGAGATTTAGTTTATAATTGATTTTTTTTTTTTTTCAAACTAAATTAAAAAAGTTGCATAAAATAAATAATTAAGATTAACGTAAATCTAAAAAAAATCGAATTTAAAATTCGTAATCTTTTTGATAGTCCTTGAATTTAGAAATACTTATAAACCTGATAGCGTTACAAATAAAGTCTGAGAAAATGACAGCTGTAGTGCGTAACACGGTACAAGTCGGACAAGCACAACTTGCCGACTCACTCATCATCAGTGCGCCTCACTAACTGCAAAGCCGGGTATGAATTTCTCTAATGCTGAAGGTCATTTCATGTTCTTGATTGTTTGGAATTAACATGCATGAAGCAATCTACAATCTACAATCTACATCCTTCGACGACTTAAAAAAGTTTGTCGACGATGCAGCGATTACAAAACATACTCGTTCGTACCACTAGCATAAAAGTTAATAGTTAATAGTTCTACTGTTGGGCGAGAGTTTAGCACCCTCGTGAGGCTACGCATGTCATTCGTGTCCTGCTACATTCAATCCGCATTAGCCTCGTTTAGAATTTTTGGTTGTTATTGTTTTTCTGTTGGTGGTTCGGGGTTATTTTTGTTTTTCGTACTCGTTTCAGTTGTGGTGTTGCTTGTAAGTCGTCGTCGACATCGTCGTCGTCATCGTCAGCGTCATCGTCATCATCATCGTCGGTGGTGGTTGGTTGACTTGATTGACTGCCTCAATTTTTGTATCTGGTCTTGGGTGCATATTGCAGGTGCTGCAGATTTGCTGTGCGTAGAAGTATTTTAAATTGCCATCTCGTTATGTACAGCATATTTAAAAAGTAGCGAGTAGCTTTAAAGGTTTTCAATTAATTTTATTTTTTGCTTGTGGTCACGCAGGTTTTGTTGTTTTAAGTGATTAAAGAGAGAGAAGAAAAAAGGGGTTCAATGGTATTGCCTAACATAATTTATCAGTATTTTATCATTTGTAAGGATTAGGATTGCACATATTTTTTCTAATTTAAGTGATTATAGGTTATAAATTTTAATGTAGTTAATTTTTTTTATAGGAATAAAAATTATTTTTAATCAGCCAATGAAAGAAAATAGATTTCTCTTTTGCTTAATTTAACTGTTGAGGTATAGTTTTCCTAAAGTATTATTTTACACATTATTTTTAAAATTAATATTTGAAATTTATACATCTTTAATAAAAAATTTAATTTCGTATAAAAGAAAATTCTCTTATTTCAAAGAAACAAATATTTCATTTGAACGAACAATTGTTTTTGAGTGTAATATTTCTTTATAACTCAGTACAGTATAACATTGAACTAAAGGCGTGAGGATCACTTGCAACAATTGCAGCAATTGTTAATGTTGTGCGTTCGACCTGCTTTACGCAAAAACTGCAGCAAAAGAGTTTATATAAGTAAAGCAACAACAAGTCGCGGTCTCAGTACGTCTGAAAACTGAACGGATAAAAAATAAAATTATTAAAATGAAAACGGAAAATCAAAGGCTTACATGCCAGAATATTGGCTTAGTAGTGACTTTACATTTATTAATAGTGATCAGTACCTTCTTGGGCACTAAAGCAGTACCTGCGGGCTATGCGCCACCTAGTAATGGTGGTAAAGGTGGAGGCGGTGGAGGCGGTGGAACTGGTGGTAGCGGTGGTGGCGGTGGTGGTTATGATTATTTGCCACCTAGTGGCGGAGGAAGTGGTGGTACTGGAGGTGGTGCACCAAGTGGACCACCAATACCAATTTTAAAAATGGAATCTAAATTAAATCCGGACTGTTCTTATAACGTAAGGCATAAACTAACTAATTATATATATATATATATAATTTTAACATGATAAAGTAAATAATAATAACGTCTTTAGTATGAATATGAAACTGGCAATGGCATAAATGTTGAAGAGATGGGCTTTGTGAAAAATCGTGGCGTTGAAGGTGAAGAAGCACAAACTGCTGAGGGCTCCTTTTCATATACCAGTCCGGAGGGTATAGCCATATCTGTAACTTATATAGCTGATGAGAACGGTTTTCAACCACAAGGTGATCACTTGCCCACACCACCACCTATTCCTATTGAAATACAAGAAGCGCTAGCTGCCGGACATCCAGGCGATGGTGGTGGAGATGGCGGTAGTGGTGGAAATGGCGGAGGTAATGGTGGTTATAATTATCCACCACCACCAAGACATTAGATTTACTGTGCTCATTCAATATTATATAAAATTAATGTAATATAAAATAAATTTTATTATTCATTATTGATTGAAAGTGTTATTTTTATATTCATATATGATAAACATAATAAAACAATAAGTTAAGCTCAACAAATCAAACCAATTCGAAACTCTAGATAATGTAGAAATGCAGCGGAAGAGTGAGACCACCTGAAGGAGCCTTTTAAATTAGGAAGAGAAATAAATGACAACAAAAAGATTTCTTCTCCTTCCGTCAAAGATGGAGAATCTAGATGGAGAGGAGAATCTAGTAGTATGAAAGCTATATTTTATAGTACTTTATATATTTGTCATATCTTAGAAATTACATTTCAAGTTAGAAATCAATATAATGCGTAACTTCTGACTTGTGTACCTTCAAATACATACACTTTAATCTAAAAATTTTAACATATTTTGCAGTTCGCTTTTATTGAAGTTGTTGTGCCAATGGTTGGCAGCACATGCATAGTTTAATAAAATTATTTTCCTAAACGTAAATAATAGCACACACACCTGAAGCTTATCCATTATAAGCTGCATAATTAAAAAGCAAGCAATTAATTCCGAGATCTGCTATTACTTAACACTTTCGTTTATGATATCTAAGCTTACCTCATTTTCATGCTTTGCGATTTATTCTAATCTCTGCAACTCCTCCTTAATAGAAGATAAATTACTTTTCGTAATTCTCGCAGTAAAGTATTTTCTTGAAATTTTTTCTATAAATTGCCTCCAGCGATTATCACATAAGAGGCAGCGAATTAATTCAACTCCGCGTTAGAGGAACGCATTCATCGAATTCTTTCACAGTCTTCGCGATACTTTTATTTTGTTTTTCAAATCTTTTATTGTTCTTTTTGTAAAAAAGTTGTCCAATAAATTATGACGTAATCTATTATTATGGTCAACAGTGGTATTTCCACAGCTTAGCCGAGTTGAGCATCTGTCTACAATTTTACTTGGTCGTTTTCTATCTAACGCTGCGCTGATCTTGAAGATTTCATATCTCGAAACAAGACCAGTTAGTCTTATTTTGCAATCTTCCGAGAACAAACACATCGTGCTCTGTCAGCTTAAAAAACAAAATTTTTTTTCTTCTTAACTTAGAACTTAGAACTTAGAAAGGCGCAATTATGAAATTTGTCATCGTAAGTTTAGAATCGTTTTTGTTATTTAATTAAATTAGTTAATTAATTTAAGCAAACAAATATTTTATCAATAATTTACAGTTGACAGTTTGTGTTTTGATTTTACTGATGCAATCGGTAAAGGCACTTGTTTATGATAATAAAAATGGTGAGACATCTGTGCATTATGGGTAAGTCTACATTTATATATAAATGCATATATTTACTTCCTTACACATATTCAAAATTGAGTTATAACTTAGAAAACTATACGGTTCAATATTACAATGCACAATTAAAAGCTTATTTGGCACTCTGGTTAATATTATTTTAAGTGTCACTGTAGTGCTCGATATAAAACACTTAAGGATGACTTAAGTGCGCATTGTAGATCTGGCCATAAATGTAGCAAATTATGTCTGTGTGTCTATATTCTTGTGAAAAGTGAAATTTTTAGTTAATCATATTATTAATATTTAGAAATTAGTTTAAAATTTATTTTTTTCTCAATTTAAATATGTGTTTAAGAAAAATAAAAAATAAATTATCAATGGAATTAAGTTTCAAAATACCATATGTTTGAATAGTTTTTCTAGAATATCAGAAAATTTTTAAACATTTTTATCTACTTAGTCAACTTTACTTTGGCTTCTTTTGGAAAGTATGATGGGTTTATTAAAGGTTTCGCTTAAGGTTCGACTTTTAGGCTTTCGATTATTGTTAACGAAATGGACTAATATGCTTAAATGCAACTCTTGAGTTACCATAATTCTCTTATATACTTTGTTTTGTTCTTTCATGTTTCTACCATAGATACCTGAAAACGCTTTGGATATACTAACTACTAAAAATATTGAGTTACTATTATTGTAATATACAGAATATTGTTTTTTACTGAAAAATTTAATAATTTAATAATTCGTTATTTTTTATACTTTTTAATTAATATGATATCCATTAAGTAGACCATTGGAGTAAGACATAATTAATGTATAAATTAATTGATTCGGAGCTTTGATTTTGGATTCGTTTAGGAATTGTGACTTGTTTCTCAGCTTCATATTTCATATATAGGTCCGTAAAGAACGTCAGATTGTAAAATATTGAGATCTTTTTAACTTTAAATAACAAATTAATCTAACATATAATTTGTAACCAATACGATCGTGACTGCATTTGTAAAGCAAAAAACTAAGATGCATTGTGAAGAATTAAAGATGCATTTTAAGTACGAGTACAAAGAATATCAACCTTTATTATTATGTTGAGGTTAGTTGAGTCAGTGCGTTTGAGCACTTTTACTCTCTGTTAACTGCGTGGTTTCTTCACAACAACTCTTTACGCCTTGACTGGATTATTGTTTATCACTTTATCAGACTAAGCAATAACTGACTTCAGATCTGCATACGCGGTGTTGGTAATACTGCAAGTGTTCATAAATAATTTCAGGATTCTATCTTTTATGTATTTATTGATCGCATCAATCTTGAGGTCATTGAGGATGTCATTCGTCCTAATATACGATGGTACCTTGAAAAGTCTTCTCAGAGCCTGGCTTTGTGCAATTTCTAGCTGGTGAATATTAGTGTTTGAAGCTTTGCTAAATGCTACACATCCATATAGAAGTAGTTATGAAGAGTAGAATAATGAACTAAAGCAGAAAAATGCAGTAGGAGCACAAAAATTAGAGTAATATATAATTACCTACTAATTAACTAAAGAATAATTTTTTTGGAATATATCTTAGCTTTATTTTGTGGTCAGTTTCTACATAGACTATGACTTTTTACTTAGTTTTTGAATTTTCTTTTGAACTGTTGTTTATTAAAATTTAAAGTGTGTAATATTAAAGGAAACTGATTTAATTCATTGTAAGTTAATTGGATTAATTAGTTAATCCAATGCTTTATGTATAAACAAAAGGAAATAATTATATGACAACTAGTAAGTTAAGTTCATGACAAGCTACTTTGTACCTACCTAAGTATCTAATACTGGTATGTAAATGAATGTATGTATAGTTACGTATAAAAAACAAAATTAGGTTGAAAATTAAATAAAACATAATTTTTAAAATATATAAACGGGTTTTATATAAACAAACACAGCTTAAATATATTGTACTTATGTTGATTTATATTAAAAGTACATATTCCAAATAAATCTATATATATATACATATCTACGGCAATAACTTCAAAGTAATTTAAAGAATACTTTAAAGTTTAAACTATATCTAATGCTCATAAAATTTTGTGTGTCTCTGCAAGGTTATTTGAATAATTTATATTTAATTAAAATCTAATTATATTATTTTAAAAAAATAGTGCATATAAAAAATAATTATTTTAAAATACAATTAAAATTTAATTTAATTTTATTTAATTATTTAATTGTCTGTCTTTGTTAGTTGTTGTCATAATAACACTTGCTATATTTTTTATACATAAGTTATTTAATTCTTATATTTAAAAAATAATATTTAAAAAAAAATTGTAACAATTTATTGTTTTTACAGTTAAGACTTTTATTGCAAAATTATGATAATATCAATACAAGTATTTTTCGGTTAAGTCAAAATAGCAAAATTAAGCTATGATATCATTTTTAGTGCAGATTATTTTCGGTTTTGAAGACGGTAAAGAACATGATAAAATGTGCTATAAATAAGAACTTTTATCTGCTTAAATCCATAAAAAAATTTTTTTTTGCGAAATATTTAAATCTTCATATTTTTTTTAAGAATTCTGCCAAATAATAAAAAAAAAACTTTGTTATGTTAATTAATTTACTAACTTCTTTATTCCATTTATTTTTTTTTTTTTGCAGATATAAAACAGAAAATGGACAATACCGCACAGAGGACATAAAATACGACACAGAACCAGTAATTGAAAAAGACAGTAAGGAACAGAAGCCCGTTGAATATCGTGGGGGATATAGCTTTGTCTCCGCTGATGGCTATGAATACACAGTACTATATAAAGCAAATAAAAAGGGCTTTCAGCCCTACGTGACTGCGCGAAAAATTAAAAGCGAATAATGAAATTTTAACAAAATTTTAATCAAAAGTTTTTTAAGTAATCTTTATAAATTATTAAGTAATTGAGAAATTATAATTATAAACTTACGCTAAGTTATGTTATGTGATAAATTATTAAAAATTAAAAAAAAATCATCAATTAAAAATATTAAAAATTTCATTGAAGACCAGTGACTCGACTTGTTTTTATAAGAATAGGCATCCGAGCTTAGCTCTGCGTTTATGTGTTATTATGAAGATTACAAGATAGCAGCATAATTTCTTGAAATATTATTAATCATTTCGGTGTAACCTTGTAAACGATTGGATTAATTTGCTGTATTGATTTATTATTAAATCAGCACTGCTCGCTTTTGTTATACTTTTGAATACGAGTATCTTTGCTTAATTGCGTTAGCTGGTTCAGTGACACACTGAAGCTTACACCTGAGAAACAAGATACTCGCATTAATATGAATTCAAAATATCGAGAGAAATTTCATTAAAAGTCGATATTTCATGCTAATATCAGATAAACGTGAGTTGCACACAAAATCGCTTATTAAAAATTGTGTATTTCAGTGTTTTTGCTGATGTTTTGATTTGGCTGTGGAAACCAACGAAGAGCATTGGCAACAGAAGTCTTCAGAAAAAAAAACTATATTGGTAAACCAAAAAACATCTCTATCAAACTTTTTTTCATAAGAGATAGGCAAAAACTATTGTCTGCAGAAACGACTTCATAAGTGCACTATAAAAAAAAAATTATTTTTTATTCGGATATAATAGGGTAGTCTTTATATGTGTTTTAAATTTATATTTTTATATAATAATTTTATAAAAAACAAACTTATAATTAAATAAAAATATCACAGTTGTTAACTTATCAATATATTATATAAACAGATATATGGGTCTACTTCGTAGACCATCTACAGTGTTATTACCTGTGAGTCTTCATAACTATAACAGCATACTGAAAAAAGTGACACTTAATAAATTTAACAATAGTTTAAACACACATCATAAAACTCTAATATATATTAATATAAAAAAATATAGTTCATATACATATATACATTCATAGTTCCTACAATATATAATTCATGACGTGTACTAAACTCTGTGTACTAAGAATTGATGATATTTTATGTTTTAATATTTATTTTTTATTATTTCACATATTTTTAACTGCAAATATATTGCAATTCGAGATTTCACATAAATAACATTGATGAAAACATTTTTTACAAAAAATTTTTGTGAAAATGTCTTTCCAATCTTTAGTGCTGATTGCGAGCACTTTTTAGTTTAGTTGTTTGGAAACTTTAAATTTATTGTGGTTTTCTACAAAACAAAGTACTCTTTTTTATTTTAATAAATGACGGATTAAACTAAAAGTGAATTGAAAAAATACCTGGCTCTGAATTTTAACAAAATTTTTTATTTAGAAACGCCATTGTAAAACAGAGAATGTTATTTCTACACAAACTTTAAATCGGCTTCCTTTTCAATTCCTTTTCAAAAGCAAAAAATAAATCGAAACACTAGTATGCGCATAGAACATATAACTGTGTTTAGCAAGACAGTTAAAGACATGTTTCAAAAATTCCAAAAATCCTAAAACATTACTTTTAGGAAGATAATTAAAATTTCGCAGTATATCAGAAACTCTATGACCTCCATGTACTTCACCATTAGAGAGTCTAAGCTATTCAACAAAATATGTATTCATCCCAACAGCTCTGTAACTCGCTGATAAAACCAACGT